TTCCATATACTCAAAGAAGTTCTCCACGGCTTTCTCCCAGTCAAGATAGTCCTCTATGTGTAGATGCCCGTCAAAGAAGGGAATATCAATTTTTACCTTGAATTTAGAGTGTCCTCGATAGTGTGATTGATGTCGTCGGGGCCTTTGATCCTCAGCAATTTGGCTCAATCCATCCTCTTCAACGTCACTCTACCGGATCCATTTCTCTAGCTAATTGCGATTCATCCTCTGATTCGGACGAATTGGGAAGTGGCTGGGGAATTCGGCGTCCATTCCGCTCAAGGCCCATGCCACGACGCCCCCCGATAACCATCGTCGGTTCCAGCCCTCGTCGCAGTTGCTGGGGTGTGTTCCTTGCATGGCTGAGATTGAACTTGCGACACAATTCGATGGATAGGCGCTGCACATCTGCCGACAATGTATTCAATTGTCGCACGATGTTGGCCTGGCTTGTCCATAATGCTTCTAGGCTTCGAGCTTCGTCGGCAGCCTGCTCCTTCCCTTTGTCCGTCATCCCGCCGGAGTTGGCTCTGATACCAAGCTGATGTACTCAAGATCGTCGTCACCGTGAGAACGAGACTTGCAGGGAAAAGAAAACAAGAAAACAAAGGACACAAGCCAATGGAACAGTGAATCGCGCTGAAGGGTTTTAACTTTAGGCGTACTTCTACTGAAGCAGATAACAGAAATTCTGTATAGAAAATGAACAATGTCCTTTTTTTCACTCCACTAAGAGTATATGTAATTTTCTAGTATTGCTAATAATACTGAAAGAAAAATACTAAAGTGGGTCTAACTACCAAAAAGGTAAAATAGTACTGTAGTGGTAAAATGAGATAACGGCGGGAGTGGAACTCATCTGGTCCTTTAACAGCCTTAGGCCATGTGGTGTGGTGATGCATTGCATCAACATCTCTCTTTAGAGAACCCCACCAAGGGCCCATCAACATGTCAAAAATTTCTTAGGCTGAACTCTATTCTTTCAACATTTTATAGAACGTAATGTTAATTGAACTACCAATGTCAGCGAGAATCTTGCGTACCTTATAGTGATCTTTGATAGTTTGAACCACCATATCATTATTTTAGATGCTTTAGATTTATTAGATATTGTCATCTGAGAAGCAAATAAGAAGAGAAGTTTATCTCATAATAGTAGACTCAATGAAGCATCTTAGAAGGAATGATTGGTGAGAAGCTATGTTGCACTGATGCACCTATTTATGAAGGCGTGCTGTATCCGATACACTGATACATGGATACACCTCCGATACGACACCGATACGTGTTGGAAAATACTATTTAATTTCAAAAGGACAAGCGTATCCGATATGCGTGTCCATTGAAAAACAAAAAAAATCCGAAAAAAAACCCGTTGTATTTACTTCCGCAGCTGCGAGCGAGGTTCTATCATTTCCGAGATGGATTTGAGTCTCTTGATGATATGAGAATATTAGAAATTGCTAATCTTTCTTTTGATGAGCTTGAATTAGAAGCTATGATATTTATTGAAGATGATATAGAAGTTCAAAGACAAACCACTAAAGAAGCTAATCATATCATTCCTATGGAATAGTTGAAACTTCATGTGCTAGACAATTTATGTTTATGCTTTTGTTGTTGTACTAGACATTTAATGCTTACTTTTATTTTGATATTATAAGCTAGAAGACTACAAATGATGTTTCTTTCATTTTTTTGTAATTTCAAATATTATGCTTTGGTTGTGATGAGGACATCGGAGATCAACGGCTACGATCTTGAGCTATTTATTTATATGTTTTTGTACTAGTTTATTTCATATTGTTGTTTTTCCCTTTATACCCTTATGGGTGGTCATGTAGTGTTGTAGCCCGAAGGGCATTTCAGTCTTTGTTATTTTTCTTCTCATGAGGCCTATTTATAGGCTAGCTTTCTTGTATTGAGATGATGACGATTGAATGAAAATTTTTGCTCTTGTGTTCTCTTTGTGAGTTCCCTCTTGAAGATCTCTTAGTGAGTTCGTTTCTCCTAGATCTCTGTGTGAGTTCTAGGGAAAGCCCAAGGTGAGGGCAAAAGCAATCCCCGCCAGTCATTGGAAGCATCCTCGACTCGTGGTTTATTTTATCTTATTGTTTTCTTCTCCAAAAGATCCCATCATCCACCACGTTACTCATTAGCTTCCTCCACCACAACCCAAGCTCCATCAAGAAATCCCCAAACCCGATGGCAAGCCCCTCTTCCTCCTTTGGCCGCCGGCCACCACCTTGCTCCAAGCCATGATGAAGATGTCAATCATCATAATGGCTCCTTAATTGTGGCCTAGCAATAAATAAAGGAGTTACCGATTTTTGAATTTCAAATTTGAAATTCAAACTTTCCATATTTGCAAAATTCCTAAAAAAGGAAAGTTTTCGAATTGATCCTATCCAAATTTCATGACATGTGGAATTATTAATTTTTCATCCTAGGTGGCATCGACTCAATTGGAAAGTACTTACTCCCTCCCTATTCCCCTCTCCTCCACCTCACCATGCCGTCGTCATATTAGTATTGGAATTTCTCGTTGAAACTACTCATGTATGCAAAGTAAGACTTAGTTGATTATTTAATGATCTCAACCTCTCGCATGTGTTTAGACCTAAGCTATTTTATCACCTTAATGTTATCTTATCGTTTACATCAATAGAGGATTTTGCTTAACATTGCTCTCTAAAATTTATAAGTGCAAACTTCCTTAAGCAACTCATCTTTCGCATGGATTGTTTCACATCAGGTTGCTTTCTTAATTTTTATGTATGATTTATAAATTATAATGCCGTATCCGCGTCGTACCCGTATCCTGTATTTTTAAGAATTGATTTGTCCCGTATCCGCATCGTGTCGTATCTGTGTCACTGTATCCGTATCGGTGCAACATAGGTGAGAAGAAAAAAGAGAGGCTTACCTCATAGTAGTTGACCCAATAAAGACTTTGATTGATGGGTTGCATTGGTGCCAACATGATCTAAAAAATGGAGTAGTTGAGAGGTGGATGATGGATGCCTTCTTGCTGATGATGAGGAAAGGTGAGACTGCCATGATGGACAATGTGATGTAAGTGATTAAAGTGAAAATTAGTTTGATCCGCCTCTTCTCATATAGATGAGAGTGGGTGGTTGGATATCTTCATTTCTTGATATGGCTTAAGGAGGATTGTGAGGCTACGTGCTTAGAACATCACTTAGTTTCTTTAGCATTAATGTAATTGTTTACTTTATGCTGCAATTTAGTAATTCTTAAGGGTTTTGTGAGACAAAAAAACCTCGAACAAGCTTTTATGGAACCCGTGTATTATAGTGACTTTGGTCATGGATGAGTTGAAGTTATTGACCTTGTGAACAATCTTGTTGAGAAGTGCAACATACTCATAAAGAAACTCCCAATCTTCCAAGAGTGTCTTGGAGATCTCAAGTGGATGGCAAGAGGTAAAGTATTGCGAAAAGAGGAAGACTGACTCTTCAACTGAAGAGATGCTAGAAGCCGACATCTTGGAGTACCATATTTTTATTGAGTCATTGAAGGTGATGAAAAATATCTTGTAGTTAGGCGTGTTAGACACGTCACGGGATGAGATTGCATCCTTAAATCTATCTAGGTGCATTACATGATCATTAACACCCTTACAGATGTCAAACATAAGAACCTTAAATTTCGACAATATTGGCTCTACCAATACTTTTGGGATGAGATTAAAGGTGTGCAAAAATCCTTGCGGTGATTCCACTACCACAATAACATTCTTGGGAGGTGAGACGGCTATTTCTGCGAGTTGGTAATATGATGGGCTGACCATAGTCAATTGAGCATCATTGTGCATTTACATGGCTAGATGGGTGAAATCGAAAGAATCATGGACGGTGGGATTAGAGTTTCTCCAATTTGGCATGCACATTGGTAATTGCCATTAGTTTTTGGTGAGGAGGTTGTTCCTGGCGTCAGTGTTATTAGTAATGACTCGTCTGCCTTTAAGTCAACCGCTTACACAAATGATGTCAAAAGTCTGAAATTGTGTGTGTTGTCTACTTTATCAAGCAGCAATAGATAACCAAATTGTTTAGGGGTTCAAAGAAATAAGAGGAAATAGTTCTGTTTGGGATATTGGGGAGTGACTTGATTAAAAAGTAAGTGCAGAGAGGAACAAACCCAACCATCTAAATACTCGAGATTTTAGGGTTATTTAGCAAAGATGTCTACGTCCATTATAAGTTTTTCTCATGCCAATTTTCTATTTAGCAAAATGAAGTGTCATAATGGATCTCAATTGGAGATTCAGAAGAAAGAAAACCACTACTATAATGATCAGAGAATGCAGAGAAAGAAATTGGAAGAGATTGGGCCTAAAGTCTTCTTGAATGCTTTTGGTGTAGAGATCTCTAATTGGTGGAAGAAGAGCCTTGTGAATTTGTCATTGAGAAGGAGCTCGTCTTAATTTGGTGAACTAGCTTACATAGGATAAATCTTTTTAAAATTAGGAGTCGAACTAGTTTGAGTATGGATGTTAGGTGTGAAGGATGGAGCTCTACATGTCATTGTGCATCTGCAACGTGGCTTGGGGTGGATTATATGTTGAGATTGAATATGCTCGGGGATGTTTGATGGAATCATTACCTGTAAAGGGATATCATTGGTGGTTTGAGAAGTGTTCGTTGCTATCACGAAGGATAATTTTGATGAGTTTTGTGCATATAAGCTAAAATGGATTCTAGGATTACTAACTTTTGTTAGTAATGGGAATAACTAGTTTTCTGCCCACATCAAAATCAAATATGAATTTGTAGAACTTGGGCTTCGTTTGTGACAGCTTTTTTATTGCTTCTTAAAGCAGCTTTCTAGTAAAAAAATTTAATTTTTATATTAGAAAGTTGCTTTTAGAAGCAGTAAAAAAGCCGTCCCAAACGAAGCCTTGGTCATTCTCGCCGCATGTTATGAACTGCATTGTATTTATTGTGAGAAATGAATTAGTTGTGTTTTTATTCCAGGTGCAGTTCTGGAGTCCAAACCTCAGCTGGTTGGTATTCGAGATCGAGTTAGAACTGACATAGAAGCAAGCTCCCCAGCTCTAACTACTGGCAACACAAACGGTGAAGGCAAGAGAGTAATCTCTGCTTCAAATCCTGATGCAAAGGATGCTGCGGATCTCCTCAGGTTAGTACATGGTCTTTTGTTGTTTGCTTCACATATATACATCTTTGGTTTTCTAGCCGTTAGAAGTTTAATTTACGCCAATTTCTTTTGTTCTTTAAAGTTTTTTAAGTAATTAGATCTCGCTTTCAGAAGCGTTCTTTGCTTAATTAGAAGTGATTATTTGGTTGACATAGGTTTCGTTTGGGACGGGTTTCTTACTGCATTTTAAAGCAGCTTAAGAAGCAGTAAAAAAGATGTCCCAAACGAAGCCGGAATGGATTTCTGATTTTGAAAACTCACCTTCAGAAAAAGTTAGAATATTTTCCATTTTCTTTTCTTAATTTTTAAATTTTAAAGCCCAAAAGTCTCATGGGGTAAGTGCTGCTGTGCATATAGGAATTGAGTTCTAACTTTGAGAGCTATAATATGGTACCTAGTTTTGCTCTTTCTTTTTGCTCTTTTAATAACAATAGAATTATCGTAAATTAATCAGATGATAACTTAGCTTTTTTTTTAAATAATGATAAAATACTGAATAATTGTTGTGAGGTTTGTTTGCTCAAATAAATACAAAAATTGAGTTCATAAAAACAAGTTCTTGTAAAACAACTGAAGATCACTGAAACTCACTTCAATGTGATTTATTTTTTAAAATTGAGATCTAAACACTGAAACACACAGTGATATAAACTACTTCTTAAAAGAAATGTGCTTATTTGATGGTTTGATTGCATTCCTTAGAATGTGCTTACAATGTGGGATCCCAAAAACTTATTCGCACACTCGAGGTATAGTGTGCCCGGTTTGCGGTGATCGCCCTCTTTCGGATCCTTTAAACGAATCCGAGAAGAAGAAGGGCTCGACCATTAAAGATAAAGAGAAGAGCAAGAGAATGAAAGGTCAATCAAGTCATGCCACATGGAAGAGCGAGACCGAAATGCAACTGCGACAACAATTTGATTAGAAGTCACAAAAAATTATAGCTTGTATGAAATTATTGTATGTGATGTGGTTGACATAGTCTGCCAAGTAGTTTTGTTCCAAGACTTCTATGTTAAATATTTCGGTTTTGTTTGGGACAGTTTTTTACTATTTTTTTAAAGTAGTTTTTTAATACAAAAGATTATAGAAAACAACAAAAAAGTAGTGGTCAAAGGTTAACCAAAAACTACGGCTTTGTTTGGGACGGCTTTTTTTCCGCATATTTTTAGTAAAAAATTAAAATTTTGGTACCAAAAAATTGTTTTAAGAAGCAATAAGAAAGCTGTCCTAAACGAAGCCTAAGGCTTCGTTTGGGACGGCTTTTTTAATGCTTTCTAAAACGGAGTTTTAGTACAAATTTTTTTATTTTTGAACTAAAATTCCATTTTAGAAAGCAATAAAAAAACCGTCCCAAACGAAGCCTAAGTGTTAGTATGTTATCGGTTTATGCTTTGTTTGAAAGAAAGTCTTGTTGTTTAATCTTGGTTTCTTTTGATGACTGAAGTATATTTCAGTATATCAGCATATTGCACCTCTATTAAAATCAAATTCCTATAAACAAAAAAAAAATTCGATGAGAGAATTTGGATAAATATCAAGGAAAAAATGAATAATTTTATACATAACTCCTAATTTTTTAATAATTTATAAATTCAATAATATCCTATTTTCATTCATCAATATTCTATTTCAAAATTAAAATTTATAACAATACTCTTAACTTACCAAATGGGCTCCCCTAATATCTTGTTTTATTTAAAATGGGCTAAAAGATTGATAAAATTTGTATAATATGATAATTAATCAGCAATGATGGCATGCTGTAGAGTTAATAAGAAATTATATGAAACAATGCCGATCAATATGGTTGCATTTGGGATAGTTTTTTTATTGTTATCTAAAATATTTTTTTAGTACAAAAAATATTATGTTAAAAAACTGTTTTAAAAAGAAGTGAAAAAATATTTTTTAGTACAAAAAATATTATGTTACAAAACTGTTTTAAAAAGAAGTGAAAAAAAAAAACTCTTCCAAAATGAAGCTTATATTTGAATGCTAAATATTCATTTATTATGCTTTCATATATATACATTCATAAATGATTTATCAATTATTTATTATGTATTTTATACATAGCCAATCATTTGTAATATTCCAAGCACGGTTAAGATTTTCATCTAGCAAAGTAATGTAAATGTAAAAAAATTTATGCATCATATGGCTTATTTTAAAAACACTTGAATTATAAAATAATTAATATGATAAATTATTTTATGTAATATTAAATAAATAAATAAATATAACATATTATAATTAAAGTTTTGTTTGGGATAACTTTTTTATTGTTTATTAAAGCAGTTTTTTAGTATATATATTTTAATTTTTATAAAAAAAAAAATTTAAGAAGTAAAAAAAAAAGTCTCAAACAAAGCCTAAGTGTTAAGGAAGAAACCTCTATTAAGGTTGTTTTCATACTTTAAAGAAATAATAGTCCCAGGTTTGAAATAGTCTTAAGGCAATTTGACGTTTTTTTTTTTTTTCCTCAGGTAAATCATTTAGTTTTGGGCGAAAATCATTTTCATCGCAAGCATTTTATCACCACTCATTGCAGCACTTGGTGATGACTGCAGCCACTAATCCAAATTTTTTTTAAAAAATCATCTACATATATTTTACATTTATTTAAATAATATCAAAATATTCTTTTTATAGCAAATTCCTTTTATGCTCTACACTTTTACATTGCATTTAAAGGTTTTTTTTTTTTTGGGAAAAATTGGGGCCAAAGCCCATCTATTACTATAAAAAAGATAAAGTTACATGAGAGAAAGGCAGTAAAAAGAAACAACCTACAAACTTAGTAGGTCAAAAGAGTAAAAAAAAAACAACTATACCCCATTTATACCACCCAATATAACAAAATAAACTGGAAAAATCAAAATGTGGTAGGAGCATCAGCCCAAGGATGAGCTGCAAAAACTGGACACCAGATCAAATGCCACGAACAAAAGAGTACCCAGGAGGAAACAGAACCCCAGCAGAATTGAAATAGAGCCCACCAATAGAGTCAAACGCGGCAGCAAAACGAACAGAGAAAGAGACTCCAGAAGAACTGATCAGCTCCAGCGACGACCCAAGCAAATAGTAATGAACTCCCATGCCCGTGACAGCTGGACTCAGAGAGAATAAGTAAGAAATGCAGATCAACCACAGCCCTGGTTGCCCATAGGACCGTCCAAGGGAGTGATAGGGGAGTTTCATCATTGTCCAGGTGAGCATAACTGCGAATGAAGTATCCAACAGCAGCATGAAGAAGCCAATTACAGCCTGTCTAATAATTCCATAGCGTTTCCCCATTTCAGAATTTTCTCCGACAGAACTCTCTTTATATTCAGTAATAAAGAGATATGGCATTGAAACTGTTTACCAAAAGATCTATTGTTCCTCTCCTTCCAGACAAAATAAATCACAGCAGCAACAGCCATATTATAGAAATAAAAAATCTCCTTCTTACCCTTAAATTGCCCAGAAATCCAATCGAAAACCTGAAAGATGTTTGGCTTTAACAGAAAAGAGCTCATCCCAGGAATAATACCCGAGAGAATAGAGAAGGAATAATTACAATCAAAGAAAAGGTGAGAAACTGATTCATCCGCAGAATGGCAAAGATGGCATAGAGAGGGAACAAAAATTTGCCTGAGTCTAAGCGCATCAGCCGTTTTGAGACCATCCACAAGTGCCATCCAAGCAAACACAGAATATTTCAATGCATTTCTTTTATGCCAAACCATACGGTACCAGCTACAGTTTGTTTTATCCGAATAAAATTCCTTCAGATAATTTTTAAATTTGCTCTTAATCTTGCCATACCAAAGCAAACAGGGACCATCTCCCACAATCCCAGAAATACCAGAGATAACCACACAAAGGCTAGGAGAGAGGGAGTCAGGTAAAACCCACACAGAATCAGAGATAATATTAGATATAGCAATGTCAGGAATAGAGGCAATATTATCAAAGCCAAACAGATCACAAACATTCCTGTCATCAATCCAATGATCCCATTTAAGGGAAATAGGAGCAGACTTCGCAATTCTAAATTTGAAGCAATGCTTAGCAATATAGGCAGTATTGCAAATAGATTTCCAAAAAGGGGAAGCAACATAAGGCAAAGGCTTCCAAGGGGATCCGTATTTTCTGAAAATCCAAGCAGCTAAAGGACTGGAGCAATTATACAGTCTAAGAATAATAGAGCAATTAAAAGAAAATTGCAGAGCCTGAATAGAGGAAATACCCAAACCACCTTTAGAGTAAGGGAGACAAACCTTATCCCAAGCTATCATATGAAGTTTTTTAGCAGAATTGACATCCCCAAATAACAGGAATCTGGAACTAGATTTTTTAAGAAACTTTTGAACAGCTTTAGGTAAAATAGCACCCCTTATCCAATAAGCAATAGTATTTTGGATAGTAAATTTTAAGTATTGTAGTCTGCCCGCAAGAGAGAGCAGCGAAGCTTTCCAACCAGTAAATTTCCTGTTTATGCTATCCAATAGTGGCATATAGTCCTCTATTTTAAGTCTATAAAAAGAAAGCGGAATGCCCAGATAAGAGATCTTGCTAGTGATATTGTGAATAGAAAGAGCATTGCAAATTTCACTCTAATTATGGATATGATTAGGAAGCATTATAGCGCTCTTCTCATAATTAATATGTAAGCCAGTAAGCTCCGCAAATTCTTTAAGAATATTGACCAACAAGCTGCAGTTTTCCACGGACGCATCACCAAATATCAGGACATCGTCGGCATATAGCAGATGGGAAAGAGAGTAGCCATTGACATTAATCCCCTTGAAGCTCCTTAACTCCAAGAGGTTAGAAAAACAATCCATGATGATACAAAACAGATAGGGACTCATGGGGCAACCCTGCCTAAGCCCAGCAGATGAGGAAAAATATCCTTCCAGCGCACCATTGAGAATGACCGAGCATTTAACATCATAAATGCAAGATTTTATCCAGTTAACAAAACGTCTAGGGAATTCTTTCTGAATCAATCTAGCAATTAAGAAATCCCTAGAAACCGAATCAAAGGCTTTTTTAATGTCAAGTTTTGCACAGAAGATTTTCTCTTTATCATGTTTCCCCGCATGAAATAAAACGTCTGAAGCTAGCAAGATGTTGTCAGTGGAGACTCTAGATTTAAGAAAGCCAGCTTGATTGTCTTTAACAATAGTAGTCATGATTGGTTTAAGCCTCAGAGCTATAATTTTGGCAATAATTTTATACAACACATTGCAAAGGGCAATAGGTCTATAATCCGCAATAGTGGCTGCATTAAAATGTTTGGGAATGATAGCAAAGGCAGTAGCTTTAACCCCGGCAGGCATATAACTTTTTTCAAAGAAGGAGTGCACTGCTCTAGTAACAATTGGACCAATAATATGCCAGCTAGTTTTGTAGAAATGAAAGTTGAAGCCGTCGGGCCCAGGAGAAGAGTTAGAGGAACCCAAAAAAACCACATCCTTGATTTCAATGTCAGTCACAGGCGAAGCCAACATAGCATGATAACTAAAGGGGACGGCAACACCAATAGGTATATCACCAATACCCCAGAAATTTGCAGCAGGAGGATTATAAAGCTCTTGGAAATATTGAGTGATATAAGAAATCACATTAGAACTGTTGGAAGAGGGATCGGAATTTAGAAGATTGATAACAGATTTCCTACATCCCATCCTGCTCCGAATTTTAGCATATAAAAATTTTATATCATCTTCCCCATATTTAAGCCAATTCACCTTAGCACGCTGTATGACCCAAGAAGCATAAATATTGTTAAAATTAGCCAATTGATAGCTACAGGCTTTGTATTCATTGCTAATTTCAACATTATTGTGATCCTGTAACATCTGCTCCATAAGAATCTTCTGAGAACTATTGAGATACTCAATGTGCCTAGACACACTAGAAGAGGAGGACCAATTTGCCTTTTTAATCTCTTTTTTCAGATGCCTTAGAGAGTTGCAAAGATGTGAAATCGGATTTCCAGAGATAGGTTTCAAGAAAACCTCTAACAACATAGTCCAATACTTATCAATCTTGGTCCAATAATTCTTGAAGAGGAAACGATGAAGGGACTTGAAAGCGTTACCATAATGCAAAATTACAGGTGAATGATCAGAACACGAAGGGTTCTGAATGGAGTAGTAAGAATCAGGGAAATTTATAAGCCAGCTCTCATTCACCATGACTCTATCCAACTTAATATGGATAGGGTTGTCAACTCGTTGATTATACCAAGTAAAATTGCAGCCAACAGAATGCAAATCCACTAGACCATTGTGGAAAATACAGTCATTGAAGTCTTTAAGGGCCTGAAGAGTGAGAGGAGAGCCACCAAGCTTCTCGGTGGCAAATCTACAGCAATTGAAGTCCCCCATGATAGCCCAGGGAACATTATCTACGGGTGCAGTTTGAGCTAGAGAGTTCCACAAGAATTTCTATCTGACATGCTATTGGAAGCATAGACAACAGAGAGCTGTAGAAGAGACTGATTATTCACAGTGATCATACCAGAAATCAATTGGGAGGTGATAATGGAGGGAGAGAACATCAACTTAGATGAATCCCACTTAACCCATATTCTCCCAGAGGCAGAAGAGGCAAAATTGTTGCAATTGACTTCACAAGAGAAAAGCTTATGAGAATGCTCAAAGAACGGGTCAGCAAGAGAATGGATATTAATCCGATTCTCCAAAATACAAACTAAATCTAGTTTATAAGAATGAATAAGACGCTTAAAACAAAGCACTTTATCAGGGCGATTAAAACCCCGAACATTCCACGCAGCCATAGGTGGAATAGACATCAAGATTTATGTTTAGATTGGGGCTTTTTCCCCTGCTTCCCCTTAGCAGTTTTCTTGACTGTAGAAGACTCAATATGTTTACTGGATTGAACTTTAACATTCAAGTTCTGCCCAGAAGCAGCAGCCATAACATTTTCCCCTTCTAAATTCACCACTGAATTAGTGGTAGTATCCTTGGTGTCATCCTCATCATTTAATAATTCAAACCTATTAGGAGAGACATAACCTTTCTCATCTGTGGTCATCTGAGTATGAATATTAGTGGAGGATGAGGAAGCAACATCATTGGGAGAGTTTAAATTTGGAATACCCAGGCTGAACTGATCCCCAATGGCTATATCACGAACATTAGGATCAGCTACAGAATCAATTACCATTGTTTTCATATAAGTGGATTTTGGGGAATGGGGCTGATATTGTAAAGGGTGTTCAGTCACCATGGAGGGAGTCTCAATAGGAATTTGATTATTCAGGAGAGTTTGAGGATTGACAGGTTCCATTAAACCAGACGGAGCAGGCGGATGATTTTCCTGAGGTCCCGAGGCGGAGGTAGGACTAGGACGAGCCCTCCTACTGGAGCTCCTACCTCTAATGTTATTCGACTCATTACCAATAACTTTTCCATCCTCATTAGGATCACTCTCCGGCTTTTTCGGACAAGAAGAAGAGTAGTGCATTAAAGACATACAGTGATTACAGGGAAAAGGGCGCCATTCATATTGCACTCTCAAGCCAACCACTTCCCCATCCAAAGAAACCTGAATTTCCTCCGGGTAGGTGGCCATGCAATCAACCAGAACACAGATTCTAGCAAACGTAAGTCTGGTTTTCTGCTCCGTCAAACTATCCGCAGCAACCGGAATGCCAATTTTGCTGGCAATCCTCGAAATACCCTCCGAGTTCCAGCAAGCAAGAGGAAGATCATGAATCTTCACCCAGATAGGAACAGACGCAAACTCTTCGCGTTTTGGAACAAATTTGGGATGCCACTTTTGGAGAACAAAAGGTTTCCCCAAAATGAACCAGACTCCTCTCGTCCATACCATATCGAAATCTTCCGCACAGGAGAAACGAAACAGAAAAAATCCGTCATTTAGAGATAGGAGTTGAACCGAACCTTTCAAACTCCAAGTTTTTTTGACCGCCAAGAGTAAAGCTTCATAGTAAGGCCGCCTTCCTATAGAATAACCAACCAAGCATAGCTTCCAGTCCTTCCCACCACTGGATAATTTCTCCCCAGAGAAAGGGATAATCTCCGGTTCCGAGGGAAAGTGTGTAAACTTTAAAGGATTTGCAGAGGAAACAGAAGGCTCAAAAACTTTGTTCCAACAGCTGGAAGACAAACGAACCTGTCCACCAGGAGATTTTGCGAGCGAGGGAAAAGATGACGAAAGCACAGTATCCTTGAAGGGAGTAGGGGAAGGAGGAGAAGAAGAGGATCCCTCCGGAGTAGTTGTTTTTTTTTTATATATAAATAAATACTAGTGAAGAACAGGCTGATAGGGTAAAAGTCTTTCAATTTTTAACTCTATTCCAAAACAACGAATTTTCAGCACCCAGAAACCAACCACCCAATCACCACCGCGTAACACGACTTCAGCTCCTGCCACATGTCGCGTACCAGATTCCGGTCATAACTCGGCGTTGGTTTTTGCCGAAACGATGAACGGCGCCTGAAATGATGGCTTCTGGATATATATTCCTCCAGGTGGCGATCTGGTATTGGCCAAACCTGTAATAGAAACCTCCTCTTCCGTAGTGGCTCAGAAGCTCACTCTTTGATGGGCCGACACAGTCTGATCTCAATCAGACGGTGGTTAGTGGTTGCCACTATTACTCCTTACGGTACCACTCGCCACTCTCATCCGGTTTCAATGATAATGGCAACTCCTATTTTAGACTACCCACGCGCAATTGCATAATTGCATATATATAGTACTAAATTAATAAAGTATTAAATTTATTTTTGGATATATTGAATGAAATATATATATATATATATATATATATATATATAATGCTTTCACAAAGTCTTTTAAAGTGAATATTATGACTTAAAAATTTTCATAGTATTATATAATTAATATCAATATACCCAATAACAAATATAATAAAATATAAAAATATTTATTTTAAAGTAAAGATCAAATATTAATAATTAATTAAACATGTCAATCATCCTAAAATAAATTCAATTAATTTAAAATTCATTAAATATTTGATTTATTTTCTTATAATAAAATGCATATAGCTGAGAAAAAAAGCTGACAAAATATCTTCAGTAAAACAGACTTCTCCGTACCAAAACGGCCCATCCGCTTCCCCCGCCGTCGTTCCACCCTCTCCCCCTAACTAATCCCATAAAAAGCGTAAAAAATACGAAATTTGCTCTATAAAACTAAATATAATTTTAATAAAAATGAATTTATATTTTAATCTTATATAAATACAAAATTACAACTCCCACGCGTCATCCATATAAGATAAAACAACCGTAAACCTTCCTCTCCTCCCTCCATATATTCTCTTACTACAGTGGAGTGACTCTTCTGCTTCAGGCTTTTCTCTAACGCGTGCCTTTCTCTCTCCTGTTAGCTCTGTTCATCAATGGCGGAAATGTTCTCCTCTTTCTATCTCGCTTCTATTCCTCAATTCTAACCAACATTCGCATATATGTTTCTCAATCTCATCTTCTTTACGAGCTTAGATCTATATCTCCAATCTTCTTTTCAATCGATCAGTGCTCCGAACTGTATCAATTTTGGCTGAATCTGAGATGGATAAGCTGTTCGGTGAAATCTCCAACGCAACCTCATGCGACGGATCGATCGGAGTAGCCGCCGTTTCCGGTGATGAACGACGTGGATACGATGTCTACTCCAGTCCTGCTTGCCGGTATCCTTCCTACATTGCTGGCGGAATAGATGAATGTGGTTATGGCTATGTACCCAATATTGGTGGATTCTCGAAAGCATCATTATCACCTGGGTCGAACTCGACCACTCGCACGCCTTCACCCACCGTAGAAGACCTGCGGCTGTGGTTGCTGGAGCTTGATAGTAGCCGTATCGCATCGGCGATGAGGCTGGAGGAGCATGGGCTTCTCGAGAAGCTCCAGTTCTTGCAGGTACAAGAGAATCTAACCAAAGGCCGCCCCGCTCCTGCTAAAGACGTCACGGCGGACTCTTCGTTGCATCAGGACTCTGTTCTGCCGGATTTTCTGCCATTGGATGACATGATGTCATTACCGATGATTTATTCCAATTGTTGGGTCACTGATCGGTTAGGCTTCCCTTATTCACCTCAATTTAAAACGAGAAATCCAGACGTTGCTGGTGACACTCTGCTTGCCGAATCCTATCCTCGCTGTAAGGGTAATGATGCTCGTCTCAATCCAACTTTTGGCTTTCTCAACTCTGAGGGCTCTGTGAATGGATATAATAAAAAGTTGCACTATGGTTTTCCTGTCCTTAATGGAAGATTTTCAAGGAGTAGCGAACCCTTTGGCTGTGACGATAATTTTATCATGCAAGGGAAGGGGCTATTCTCTAAAACGCCTTACGAAAATTCCCTTGGAGATAGGAGGAGGATAGATTTTAGTAATGCTCATATCGGAATGTTCCAAAGGTTCCAAAGGCTCAGGTCTTCTGCTTCTCTGTTTCATAAGAAGGATACAATATATCACCTGGCTAAGGATCAACATGGCTGTCGTTTCTTACAAAAAAAATTTGAGGAAAGGAAGGCCGAAGCAATCGACACTATATTTAATGGCGTGATTGATCATGTGGTCGAGCTCATGGAGAATCCATTTGGGAACTATCTCATGCAAAAGCTCCTTGAAATATGCAGCACGGGACAGAGGATGATGATCATCCTTAAGCTAACGGAACACCCATCTCAACTTATCAGAATCTCTCTGAATACTCACGGGTGATGGTCTCTACCCTGCATAATTTTTTTGATTGTTGAAGAGTTTAAATTAGCCTAATTTTGTTTGCAATTGATTTTGATTTTGTTGTTTAATTAATAAGTTCAAATTATTTACTTATGAGTGAAGTTATAGCATAAATTTAAATCAAGTGTTTCTGATTCTATGTATTCAGGACTAGATCTGTACAGAAATTAATTGAGACTCTCAAAACAAGGCAAGAGATTTTACTAGTTACTTCTGCTCTCAGGCCAGGCTTTCTGCAACTGATCAAAGATCTCAATGGTAATCATGTCGTCCAAAAATGCCTTGTATCTCTGAAAGCAGAGGATAACAAGGTATGATTATGTTCTCTTTTTAAGGTGTTGAACGACATATATTCCTGCTTAGAGGTTGCTATATATTCAAACTGACTTTCGCAGTTCGTATAATATTACTTCCCTCACAATAAAAAAATATCAATATTTTTCATCTGAATTATAGGGGTCACCATTGTCTTTATGCTGAGAGAATTTCTAAAAAAAAAAAATCTAAGCAAATTTCCCTTCTGTTTTTCAATGTCAATTATTGTGATCACATTTGCTAAATGTTTCTTTTAAAATATTAAAATTTGATGCTACTTTTAAAGCACTAGTAATAATGCTTTTTAAAATATTTATCAAGTTTTAAAGCTACATCAATTTATTTTATATATAATAAATTAACAAATCAAAAAAGTCTGTCACAAGAGTTTTTTGTTTGAGAGGAAATTGGACAAAAAATTGAAAAATATAGCCACATCAAAATTAAATGAAAGTGTTCCATAAAATAGGAAATCAATAGATATGTATAAATTATTTTGTTTCTACTATGAACATTTAAAAAATATGAAAATTGCAATTTTAAATAAAGATATATGATTGTATTTCTTAAACGAAAGGGCTGAGATTTTTTATTGTTGAAATACCAAGGCTTATTTTTACTAGTGGTAAAGACATAGATATTTGATATTATAATTTCCTTTTGATTATAATACATATTTCGCGGTATCATCACCATCAAACTACTAATCTTTAAAATGGTTTGAACTTATTATTGTTAAGTGGTCATTTTACATCACCTTTTATGGTTTTTTCCCATTTGTAACAGTTTATTTTTGATGCCGCCACAAAGCATTGTGTTGAAATTGCCACTCATCGACATGGATGCTGTGTTTTACAATGCTGCATATCTCATTCTATTGGAGAGTACAGTCCAAAGCTGGTTCTTGAAATTTCTTCAAATGGCCTTTTACTTGCTCGAGATGCATTTGGGTAACTATTTTAGATGCATAGCTATTTTTTTAGGCTTTGTTTGGGATGGTTTTTTTCTTGCTTTTTAAAACGGCTTTGTAGTATAAAAATTTCTTGAATTTGAATTTTTTGTACTAAAAAATTGTTTTAAAAAACAGTGTGAAAGCTATCTTAAATAAGCCTTAATATTATTTCAAACACGGCTTTTTTATGTCATCCTTTAATATTTGTCAAATAATGATTTTTAGTGTTGACACTGGAAAGAAATATGCTTACTTATTTTTAAATGCTATGGCATTTTTTTTTATTATTGTTCACAGATTAAAAATTTTAATAATTTTTTTAATGATTAAAAGATTTAATTCATTTTTAATTACTTGATTCTGTAAAAAAATATATATTTTTTGAAATATGCGAATAAAGAGTTTAAGAGTATGGTAACAAATAGCTTTTTTAACTTCAAATTTAGGATATTTGCTTCATAAGTTCGTTTGATATTGTTTATGTTGGGAGGGAGAGCATGGTTAGTAAGCCACTCTTGTGGATTGAATTGCAAAGGAAATAAAAGAGCAATGTTTTACAGACAAGATTTTTAGGAAGAGATTTTAACTCAGCCTTACAAAAATTTCCTCTGCAATCCACTCTTTGGAGTACCCAATTCTGAACCCCTGTTTTATTCCACTCTTTAGAGTCAGCAAAATTATAGAGGATCTATGGTTCGCTGCTTCCCCGACCTGAAGATCATTAGAATATTGAATGCTTAGGTTAATGAAAATTCTTTTTTTATACATATACATAATTGGTTTGAGCAAATAGCGGAATGTTATTATTGGTTGCAACTTAAGGAGTGACAGCATCTTGCATAGCATTTATTATCTTTATATTTGAAAATTCAATGTTGAAGAATAGACCAAGCAGCCTTATGAGACTCCCTCGGCTACTATAAGTCAGCACCGGCTGACACTAAGCCAATTTCTAGTGATTCTTCTTTGTTTTGGGCCTTTGGCCTGAGTTGGGCCAATAGCTATGTATGTTCTAAATGTACATGTTTTGAAGTCGAATTAATTGCACTAGTGTGGTCAATTTTGGATCTATGTTATATTATGCTAAAATTTTTAGTATAACACAAAAAATAATAGTGAATGTGTATTAGAGTATCATGAGATTAAGGCTTCGTTTGGGACAATTTTCTTACTGCTTTCTAAAATAATTTTTTAGTACATAAATTTTTTTAATTAGAAAATTTTGTACTAAAAAACTATTTTTAAAAACAATAAAGAAGCTGTCACAAACAAAGCCTAAGATTTGATTTGGGACTGCTTTCTTACTACTTAAAACAATTTTTTAGCTCAAATCATGCAATGCTATCCAAAATGATCATTGAACAATTATGATTTCTCTTTTGCTTTCTTTTATGCAAACAGCATGGCATCTACCATTTGATTTGATGAATCTCTAAATATCTGACACATGCTAATATCTAGTATTGTTTGCAATTTTTTTATTCACTCCAGGAATTATGTTGTACAATATATTCTTGATCTTCACAATCAATCAGCAACTGCAATTCTTCTATCCCAATTCAAAGGAAACTATGTGGAGCTGTCAATGCAGAAGTTCAGCAGTAATGTTGTTGAAAAATGTCTCAAAGTTCTTGATGAAGATGAAAGAGCAAAAATCATAGCAGAATTACTTCACCTGGAAACTTTTGAGCAAGTACTGCAAGATCCATATGCAAATTATGTCATCCAGTCGGCCCTTTGCACTACTAAGGTAACATCTTCCAAATATATATATTTACTTAGTCAAATAATGCATCATCCTTATATATATATATATTTTCTTTTATTAGGGTTCTCGTCTTCACGCATCACTTGTTCATGCTATTCGGCCTTTTGCTGCTAAATTAAAAACAAATCCTTATTGCCGGCGAATATTTTCCAGAACTCTAAGAAATGATCATTAGTTGATTTCTGACATGTGTTGTTGTTCCTTTGTTCTGTATGGTTTGTAGACCTTTATGTTGTAGGTATCTGCATTATGAGTATGTGCTGTAAAAACTAGTTCTGTAGAATGCATCAGTTGTATTTGGTTTGTTGTTGCTGACAATCTGATACTTTGTTGTTGCTGTTATTTAGAAAAATGTTTTATGGTTATATTTTTGAGTATTTTTCAACATTTTCTTGTTGAATGTTGAGGTTTTGATTATTCGTGTGTTGACAATTTACATATTTACCAGAGAATTTGTATGTATTTACATATCTAACATTAAAATATTTTATTTTCTTGTGAGGAAAAAAGTCTAAAATGGTCTCCTAATTATTCATTTGTGACCACTTCAGGTTTCATAATTTTCCAATTTAATTTTGACTATACAAAATTGATACAAAATAATTTGTTAGAAAAAATAATGGAAATTGGGTTATAAAATTGATTCAAATTTAGTTCTTGAGTAAACATTCGAGATTAGTTTTATTTGGTCGAGTCGAGAGATTAAGGTTTCGTTTGGAACAGTTTTCTTACTGTTTCTTAAACAAAATTTTAATTTTTATGTTGTAAAGCAACTTTAAGAAGCAGTAAAAATGCCGCCTCAAATGAAGCCTAAATTTTAGAAATGAGTGAAATGATACTTTGAAACTGAGGCTTTATTTGGGATAGCTTTTTTACTGTTTCTTAAAGCTGTTTTTCAGTAGAAAAATTAAAAATTTTGTACTAAAAATTTATTTTAAAAATCAGTAAGAAAGCCGTCCCAAAAAAACCCTAAATTCCCATATATATATATAATATATA